GATTCTTCCAAATATAGGCGATAAAACGAATCCTCCATCGTAGGGTTTGTAGTTTATGATTTAGATAATTAGCACCTATGGTTCACTCATTAAGGGTTAGGGTATAGTATCGAGCCCAAAAAAACTGCTAATTCGATGTCTTGATAGTGTTTTCATACTCAATCTATCCTTCTTTTCTTTTTTTTATCCCCGGACACATTCTTTTACTTTTTGCTCTGCTCAAATCCCTTTACCTCACCCGTCTCTCTTTTACGTCACTATCTCCTTTAGTTTCTTAGCTAAAAGTTAAGAGAACTTACCTCTGCTAATCACATACACCTTCTCTCCCATCTCCTTTAGTTTCAACAATATGACGGTGTTTTCTCTCGGCAAGGCCAATTTGTTCTAGTGTTTAGGGACTAGGGAGGTATAAGAAGGTGGGTGATACCACTGACAATAAGGGTTGATCGGAGTTTGATGAACTCCCCACCACCATCCGTATACAGGCGGCGAATGGTAGTGGCAAAAAAATTTCATCTAGACGTTTGAAGGTAAGAAAGGTGGTCAAGACATCAGATTTTAAACAAAGGGGATATATCAATGTATAATGGGTAAAATGATCCACGTTAACAAGATAATATTGAAATGCATCGAAAAAAGTTACAAGATCAAGGCCCTAGACATCCGAATATAACAAATCAAAAGGACAACTACTAGTGAGAATGGAGTCTCCGAAAGGGTGTTTATGACTCTTGTGGGATAGACAGGACAAACACGTTACAAAATAGCGGACTTAGACATAAGCAAGGGGTTAACACGAAGAAGACGAGAATGAATTGGAGGAGGGGTGGCCAAGTTGTTGATGCTAGGACTGAGTAGAGTTCCGAGTCATCACCAAAAACAACCAAACCGAGGAGCCTCCTCTAGGGAATTTATAGGTATCACCCTTATTCCTTCATATCAGCAGTGGCGCCCCATGCGAAGGTCCTTCACAAGAAAAAAACTAGAGAAGAATTCCACCGAGACAAGGTTAGTGCGACAAAGTTTAGCGACAGAAATTAAGTGCTGCTTGATGGCAGAAACACACAAGACATCATTAAGAGCAAGGGAGCGAGTAGAGGAGGCTAAGGACGATGAGCCGATGTGGGTGATGCGCAAACCTGAACCATCACCAAGGTTAACCTCGCGAGGACTTGTGTAATCGGAGTAAAGGGCTAAGTTGTCGAGATCATTGGTCACATGATGTGTAGCCCTATAAGCACTTCTGAGATGAAATCATTCGCTGCCTTCTAATCCCCATATTTGTACCTGCAACCAGAGATATCATTGATTCATGGAGGTGTATTGCGATACCTTGCCAATTCCACTCACTTGAGGCATACACCATATCTGCAACTAAATTGTCCCACTGAATGTTATGCCCGTCATTGCTAACATGATCCTTCAATGCTATGTTTGCTGCAATCCATTGATCTATCAAGAATCTAACACTTCTTCCATCCCTAATATCCCAAATGGTGTACTGTTTCACAAGGGGGCAGCGCCGGATACCAAGGCCCCCCTCCTCCTTCGGCTTACATATGGTTTCCCACATGACGAGGTGGGTCTATGCCTAACCATTGTCCCCGCCCCATATAATCCCCCTAATCTTCTTGTCGATCAAGTCACAGAATTGACAGAGCATGACGACATTTTTCATAGCGTAGGTTGGAAGCGCATTAAGGACGGAGGTAGCCAAGGTAAACCTTCCTGCAAGCAAGAGACTCTTAGCTTTCCAGCTCGCAACCCAATTGTCTATGTCCTCAAGGATATACTTATTAGTTTCCTTCATAATCCGTCCGTGGATAACATGAATACCCAAGAATTTACCAAGGTTGGTTGTATGAGGGATGCCCATTAAACCATTCAGCCTTTTCTTGGTACTTTCTTTAGTATTCCTTGAGAAATAAACTCACAACTTCTTTTTGCTATTTTTTCTCCAGAAGCTGAGCATAATTGGTCCAGGCATTCCATCACTATCTTGGCTTATCTGACATCTGCCTCTGCTAGGAGCACACGATCATATGCAAAAAAACAAATGTGTTAAATGTGGGCCATTCTTAGAGAGACAGATCGGTTTCCAATCTCCACTCTTCACAAAAATTTTGATATTATGATTTAAGCGTTCCATACATAAAGTGAAAAGATATGGAGACATAGAACATCCATGTCTAAGTCCACTAGTGGGTTTGAATTCATCGGTGCAATTTCCGTTCCAAAGGACCTGGAAGCTATGAAACGCTAAAACACTATATCAAACTACGACCAATTATAATCGCAATCTGGAAATGCAGAATAGTGGGTAAATTTAATTTATCAACCCGGGGTCTAGATCTACTGTCTACTCCGTGAACTTCTATTATCTAGCAGGACTAAGTGAGTGAAGTTGAATTTAAAACAATACAGAAAGAAAGTAGTAAATTGTCCGGTTTTCTGAAGGAAGAGAAGAGTCACTCGGGAATGAGTCCCCCTAGCTCCTTAGTGAGGTCCAAGTTGTAATTTCCTATGGTTGATTCACTGTTGATTAAACTAAGGAAGAACCGTCAGTATCTTGGAATCTCTTAAGCTGACCAAGCCCTCTCAGACAGACTAACCAGCATGCGACTAGTCTTCACCATGATAGAATGCTAAGGCAATTAACATAGAATTCCAATACTGAAAACAGATTCCAGTACAGAGCAGTGAATTGACTAACTCTCTTATAATCAATTCAGATTCTATCTATCACAGGTTGAAGCAGAAATCAAGAGAAGTTGATCAGGATTCAATTGACTCAATCAACACGCTTCAATCGATTAAAAGCAATCAGTATATTATCCCCAAAAGTCATTACAATCAAGATCCCTAACACATGGAACTAGAGTCTTCATACCCAAGTGAGAGAAAGGTCTACCCCATAGAGAGAGAGAGAGGAAAAGAGAAATCAAAGCAGTCATACTCATAAGGATGGGAATAATCTGCTCTGGGATGTCAATCTTCACTCCTGGGGATGCAATCCAGGCTTCAATGGTGAGAAATCCACTCCAAAATAGCTCCTAGTGTTTATTCTTCGCACTTTATCTCTCTAGAACTCTTTTTTTGCTCCAAAAAGTTGACTGACACGCCAAAACACAACACCAAACTGCGACCAAGTATAATCGCAGTCCGGGAATGCAGTAACAGGCAAGTTCTATTATCAACCCGGGGTCTAGATCTACTACTTACTCCGTGATTATTTATTATCTAACCAACTAAGTCGATTGATTGTTGTTTAAAGCAAAAGCAGTAAGAAAGCAGGAAATGATTCGGTTTTCTAAAGCAGGAAAGAGTCACTCAGGAATGAGTCCCCCTAGCTCCTTAGTTAGGTTCAATTGTAATTACCCTGGGTTGATTCACTGTTGATTAGACTGCGGAATAGCCGACAATAGCTTGGAATCTCTTAAGTTGACCAAGCCCTCTCAATCTAACTACCCGGCAGACGACTAGTCTTCACCGGGATAGAAAGCTGAAGCAATAAGCACAAAACTCCACTACTGGAATTGAATTCCAGTACAAAGCAGTAAACTGGCTAACTCTCGTATAACCAATCTCCTACTATCGAATGAAGAGGCTCTAACAACCTAATCAGATTCTATCTATCTCAGGTTGCAGCAGAAATCAAGAAAAGCTGATCAGACTTCAATCAATTCAATAAACATGCATCATTCGATTAAAACCAAACAGTATAATCATCCCAAGTCATTACAATCAAATCCCTAACACAAGGAACTAGGGTTCTTCATACCCAAGTAAGAGAAGGGTTCTACTCCATAGAGAGAGAGAAGAAAACAGTAATCAGAGTAGTCATACTCATAAAGATGAGGAAAATCTGCTCTGGGATGATGATTTCCACTCCTATGACGATCTCCAAGCTCGATTTGATGAAACCCAGCTCCAAGATAGCTTCTAGGATGTGTTCTTCGTACTTTCTCTCTCTATGGCTCTGTTTTTGCTCTGAAAATCCGATTCTCTCACTTGTGGCTCGAAATTGGCTGAAAAACCAAGATTTCTCGACTCACATGGGCAGGCCACACGGCCAAACCCAGTTGCCCGTGTGAGTCAAAACGCGGCGTATGGATTAGTTGCACTTCAGGCTTCCCACACGGCCAGGTTCGCACGGCCGTGTGGATTTTCTGCTCTGCCCATGTTTGCTCTCGGCAAAAATCACACGTCCACAATTGTGTGTTGCACGGCCGAGTGATGTCCAGGAATGCCTGTGTGGCTTCCTTAGCACCTCGCCACGCGTCCGATCTTTGTCCAATCGACCCCAAACTCGCTCCCAAGCCTCCATTCACGTACTAGGACCTGAAATATCACAAACAAGCACAACCTAGCGTGAAATCGGCCTAAAACACGAGAAACCACATCTCAAACGGTGTAAGAACAAGGGTAAAAACATGTGTAATTAACGGTCTATCAAACTCCCTCACACTTAACCGTTTGCTTGTCCCCAAGCAAACCAAATTGTGGGCTTCCAGCCTAGTGGCACAGATTATTGATGCGTTTTTTTATGAAAAACGCTTTGGTCAGTGGTTCGAATAACGGAATAGACTTTTATTTTTGGGTAAATACAATTTAATATCCAAACCTTTCATTTTAAACAATATAATAGCCAAACCTTTTCGAAAACAATCTAATATCCAAATCGTCAACTTTCCGTTCGTTTGAACGTTAGTTGACACTTCAAAAAAGCTTTGTTTAGGGGAAATTGTCACAATACAACTTTGTTTCTTGTTTTGGCATTGTAGATGACTGAATATTTAGATATTCTATACCATCATGGTGGAGTCATGGACTTCTCGGGTTTGGAACTAAGATATGTTGGTGGTTTTTCAGAGAAGATATCGATGGATATTGATGAAGTGTCGTACTTCAAACTTTTTTGAAGTGTCAACTAACGGTCAAACAGACAGAAAGTTGACGATTTGGATATTAGATTGTTTTCGAAAAGGTTTGGCTATTATATTGTTTAAAATAAAAGGTTTGGATATTAAATTGTATTTACCCTTTATTTTTTGTCTTTCTTGTCCGAAGCAGAGGTCAGTGGCGACGGGAAAAAATGATGATCGGTAATACGAACCCATTTTAGCAGACACCTAACCCTAGCCGCTATTTTCTACCCGATTTTGCTCTCTGTCTGGCAAACAGAAAGAAGGAAAAGAAACCTTTTTTCGGTCTGCCTCTTTTCTTTCCTCTTTCTGCTCAAATCTTCTTCCACTCAAATCTCTCTTCTTCTTCTCTAGATACGACGCGGAGACCGAGAGAAAGAAGCGACGGCGGAGGCGAAGGGAGTACAGCAGTGTACGCCGTGATGAAGATCGACGGCGGCAGAGGTAAGATCGGTTTTCTTATGCATGTCGATTTAGGGGGTTTTCCGATTGTGATTTGATTTCGATTTGGGTCTTGGGTTTTGTTCTCGATCGAGGGAAAGGAGCACGTGGTCGCGGCCGGCGAAAGACTTACCGGCGATGGACACGGCGGCGGTTCTGGGTATCACCGACGGTGAGGGTAAGAGGGTTTTTTTGCTTGCATTTCGTATTTGGAGGTTCGGTTTTGTTTATAGGGTATTATTGTAGGTTCCGATTGATTTTTCTGGTTTCTTTTATTGCAAGGAAGGGACGGGGAAAAGCGAACTGAGGAGAAAGTGAGGTCACTGCCGGCGAGCACTGGCGGCGTCGCCGGCGGCTGATGCAGCGGAGGCAAACATGACCTGGTAAGTTGTATTTCATTTTTGTATTATCTTGTTTGCTTGGTGGATTCTAAATTAACTTCCCTTTTGCAGGTTCGAAAACTAGAATAGATTGGCTACCGATTCAACTATGGTTTGATTTAAATTCAGTGTTGATGATTTAGAGTTTTACTTGATTGCTGGTATTGATTTGCTGGCTTCTTGATTGGGTAATCGTTGATGGTTTACGATAGTACGCTTGATTTAGTGTTTGATATTCGATTTATGATTGTGAAAGTTGTGTTTAGAATTGGTGTGTGGGACTTAGAACCATAAAGAAAACTCAAAATTTTGGTTCAAGTTCCAGAATTTTACAAAATGAACAAAGTGGAAAATTAACTGTTAAAAGACCATAAACACTGCTATTGCTTGTGGTTACTTCGTCTTTCATTGCTGTAGTGTCAAATTTGGATTCTTTGAGTTTGTGATGGGTGAAATCTGTGGTTTGCTGAATCTGGGAGTTCGATTGAGATTGTGTTGAAACTGGAAGTTGTGGGTGAACGATGTGGATTCGACGACAGTGGTCGGTTTTGGGTGGCAACCAACCTTTCTACTTGTAGGTTGATGACGATTCTGAACTATTTTTGTCGCCTCCTTCTTGGGTTTCTTTTGATGGTGTTGGCGGCAGTGCTAGGATGTTTGTTGTTGACTCTGCCTTTTCTTTTAGCATCCTTGCTGTTGCCTTTACTGTTTCTTGTTGATGACTCTTTCCTTCTTTGTTTTTGTTATATTTGGTGTGTTTGGGAAGAAGGATAAGATGTGGGAAAGTCCTTTCTGTGTATTCCCTTCTCTGTGTATGGCTGTGGGGTTTTCTTTGGAATGGTGAGTATGCTTTTAGAAGAGGCAGTGGAAGTTTTGCAGGGTTTATCTGTTGTGTTTTTTTGTATTGGATTATTATGGCTAAAGAGGAAGAAGGGAAGGGGAAATTAGTTTTAGTGGCTACGGTTTCGTCTGTGTTTAGAAAGGAAGGAAGTGGCAAGTTTTGCAGAGTTGCCTGCTGTGTTTTTGGATCAGAAAAGGATGAAGTGGTGATGAGTTTTTGTTTTTGTTTATGTGTATGTTGCTTTAGGAGGGGAGGAAGAAGAAGGAAGGAAGTATGTTGGGGATTTTTTCCTTTTCTCTCGTCTGTCTGTGTGTTTCAGGGGGGAGTAGGAAGATGAAGAACCAAAAGAGGAGAAGAAAAGAGAGGGAGTCTTCCCCGGGGAGAAAGAAGCTGTCCCTTTTTTGTTCTCGTGGTGAGGAAGAAGGAAAGAGGAAGATGTTGTCTGTTCCCCTGTTTCTTTCCAAGTTTTTTTGGTGGTCTATCTATGAAAGAAGAGGAGAAGAAAGGAAGCCGAGTCCTTAGGGAAGAGGAAGAAGAAGAGCCGAGAGTTTTTCTCTCCCAAAAACCTCCCCTCATGTAGGTGCAAAGGAGCTCTTTTTATAGCACATTGCTGCTTGGGGTGCAAGAAGGCTACAGTACCAGTTGTGGTTTTGGGTTCAACCAGTCTGGTTGGGTCAGAGCTCACTAGGTTGACTTTGGTTGACCTGTTTTGACTCATGTTGACTGACTTGACCAAGTTGACTTATTTATTTCTAAATTTTGTTGTGTAATAGTTATTTAGATTATTATGTCATAGTTTTGTAATTATAATTTATAGTTCTAATCAAATTCAATTGTAGTTGTTCTAATATAATTGTTTTTTTAATTCATATTTTCTCTTATTGTCTATAGCTCAATCTAATCAAAAGCCAAACCGTCTATGTACATAATTTAATCGTCAACCTAAAGGCAACCAAACCAAGCAAACTGCTTAAAATTAGGTTGTCTCAATCGACTTGATTCATCCCAAACATTACAAATACGCTTTTAACATTACAAATATGCTTTTAGTTAGAAGATTTTATTTAGAAGATTGTTTAAGAGTTGCTATTGCCAACTTTATGCAATTAAGTTTATTTAATAAAATTGTATTTTAACCCGGACGAAAAGTGGTGTCTACAGTTGCCCCTCTTTGTATATCTCTTGGTATTTAAGAGGTATACAAAGTTATTCTAGTACACCATTTTTGACCGGTTTACTAATTGTATTGCGATATTTTTGTTTGGTGCATTAGCCAACTTCTTTAAAGTTTTGAAGTCAATGATTAGCTCCCATGTGGCATAGTCATGTAGTGGGTCCTGATTAGTTCCTCGCAGTGTAGCCTTCTTTCGCAGTGTAGCCGTCTTTCACAATGTAGCCATCTTTTGCAGTGTATTCGTCCTTCGCAGTGTAGCCATGTAATGGGTACTGATTAGCTCCCTGGCAGTGTAGCCGAGATATGGATGCTAATTAGTTTCTCGCTATGTAGCTTTCCAGTGGGTTCCTAATTAGCTCCCTCGTAGTGTAGCCGACTTGTGGATTTTGATTGGTTTCCCTCGCAGTGTAGCCGACTTGTGGGTTTTGATTGGTTTCCCTCGCAGTGTAGCCTTATTTCGAAGTGTAGCCTTCTATCGCAGTTTAGCCTTCTTTCGCAGTGTAGCCGTCTATCGCAGTGTAGCCTTCTTATGGGTCGTGATTAGCTCCCTTGCAGTGTAGCCGACTTGTGGGTGCTGATTAGTTTCCCTCGCAGTGTAGCCTTCTTCGCAGTGTAGCCTTCTTGTGTTTGAGGATATGCAGAGTTTTTGTTTAAAACCTTAATCATAGGTGACATGGAGTTGTATGTTTGATAGGAAATGTTAAAGCAACCAATCGAGAAATTCTAAACGAAATTCGGATAGGTCTCGAACTTGAACGTCTAAAGTTTGTATGTGATGTCAAATGTTTATGATTATATGATATGATGCAATATCATGATGAGATATGTCGATGAAAATGTTCTTTCGCTTTAAGTAAACTTTGAAAATTATTGATGTTTACTTTGGCTATGAATTTCTTGATCTCCCTAATGAATGATGTCATATGATTAGTTTGAAGTGCATTCGGAAATTATGCCATATGATGTATGTGAAGTGCATTTGAAAAAGGTTGTATGATGAGTCGTATGATGATGTCTTGAAGGGTATGCAAAGGAAAGAGCATAATGCCTAATCATGGTCTTGTTGTTTTTGTCATGAACTCTCTTAAATTGATCATCCACAAGGAAACTATGTTATCCCCCTTTAGTAAACTTGATCCTTAGTGGTGCTCGCACTGGAGTAACATGGGTGTTGCCGGTGGGTTCATTCTTCCTTTGGCGCGTCATTATCTTGCGGAAATGAGCTTACAGTCTAGTATTTTCTCTTTGTATGTTCAGTGAGTCCAATGTATGTCACTTCTAGGGACTGATGGAAGGACGATACCCTGCTTTCTCCAACTTGGACACTGGTGCTTGAGTGGCTGATGTGTTTGCCATATGATCTTCAATATATGTGCATGGTGAATTGGTTATGTAGGAGGATTTTATAGCATGGTGGTTTGGGGATATGTGCTCCCTTAGCTTGATTGATATTCTTGCTATGAGAGTATGTCATGCTTGGCTAAGAGGAATTAGTCATCTCCGGGTACTGTCTTGTTGATGTCAGTTTTCGAAAGATGTTTGATCGACTCCGTCGGGAGGTGTGAGGTAGGAATTACTTCATTGAAGGATAGTTGAGTGACCCGCTGGTCCAACGTATTCGGGGTATCTTGAGATCTCTTCTTAAATTGGTGAGAAACTTGAGTAGTTTGGCTTTTGGGTGTTTCAAATTCTTCCTACTGTAGGCTTCACCATTTTTGTTTCTAGGGATCCGTTATGTACTTTCATCTTCGGGTATGTCTTGTTGGTGCCGGCTCTGAGCTTTCGGGTTGGCCAATCTAGGGTACCACTAGCCTAGTCTTGAGTTGTGTATTTCGTTCGGAAGTCATGGTATATCAAGTTCATTCCCTAGTCAAGTCACTCAAGGATAATTTGACTGACTGGTTGGATACTTTAAATCGTAAGTGATTCGAGATCTCGGAAACTTCTTCACTTGCTAATGAGTTGAAGAGTTAGGATCCTCACTTTACGAGTATTTGAACTTCCTTCTGCTCCGTGCCTTCTCATCTTGCCCCTGAGGATATATAACTTGCTTTCCGCCTTTCAGAACAACATGTGACTTTTACCAACCTTGACTTAAGATGAATGCAACAAAGTTTGGAAAATACCATTTTGAGGAGGTATGATGGGAACTTGATTTTGGAAATTGAAGCCTTGCATGAGGAAGTGTGTGCAACTTTGAATAACACGATTTTTGTGTGGTTAATGCCACATTTTTTAAAATTTGTTTTTTTTTTGGTAAGCCAAGCCACGAGAATTTTCATAAGCCCTTGCTCTCATTCTGACTCTCAGTTTCACTCTCACTCAATCCTATGGGTGCTTCGAGTAGACGACACTTCGGCTACTATCAAGATTCTTGTCACCGATGATGATATACAAATGTTCTCGAGGTACAATGTGTGTCGATCATAGAGAGTTTGGATGATCTTCGTATGCTTTTGAGATGAAAGTTCTCGACCTTTACTGAAAGGAGGCTATTGCCTGATATGACTCCAACTGTAAGAGTCTTCGTGTTTCGGGGATATGATAAATGGGACTCTAGTCCTTAGTCATTTACCGTTATTTTATGATGGATTTTGGCTTGCCCCCAAAGTATGAGACTGACTGTTGGTAGAGGATATCATTGTTGAGGAATTCTCTTTTTCCTCGTAAATGGTGGTTTATCTTGCGTATCTTTGTGGAAATATCTTGATTCAGGTTGCGCTCTTTCTTGAAATTTTGATTTTGAGGGGTAAGCTCGAGTAGTCAATTGAGGTAATTTTGAGTGGAAACCTGATTGTGGGAATCCTGTCACTTGTCGAGGTCCTTGTTTGACCTTGAAATGATGGATAAAGGAGGTCTTGGTATGATACATGCTTCTGCTTCTCATTGGTAATCAAATAATGAATGTCAAAGATCCTTGTGTGGCGCAAGCATAAATGTTGAAGTCTTATTATCATGGTGGTTCTTGTTTATCTT